TAGGAAAATAATTTCTAGTATATATCTTTACATATTTGTCTAGTTGTTTCCTAATTTTCAGATCTCTAAATATATGATTTCTGATGTACTGGTATTATAAATATAGTTACCTGTGATTGATAATAAACAAGCCAATTTACCAATTCTTCAGAAATCGATTTCTCCAAACAGAGTAATCGACTTCCTAAGCACAAAACAGAAACAGGAAACCGGAAATGAAGTGTGGAAATCGATTTCCCTAATACTAGAAATCGATTTCATGTGCGATATTTCTAAATTTCAGATTTTCAAAAGTCTTTTTAAATAAGCTATTTTCATTGCAATTCTCCCAGAATATCCCACAAGCCATTTGAATTACTAAGGACTTCCAATACACCACCTTAAGTCAAATGCTCCAAGTTCTTCATACCCAAGCTCATTACAAGCCTCTTGAACACCATATTTGTCATACTTTTCGTTAACAAATCTACAACTTGTTCTTCACTTGGACCTTATCCCAATCTCAACTGTCCTTGACTCACCAGATCCCTCAAGTAATGAAACTTCATCTCAATATGCTTGCTCCTCCCATGTGCAATAGGATTCGTAACAAGGTTGATAGCTGAATCATTATCAACCAAGAGTGTGACAACTACTCCTACATTGCTGCCTAACTCAGCCAACAGATTCATAAGCCACACAGCCTGACACACACATCGACACAACAATATACTCGGCCTCGCAAGAAGAGAGTGCAACCATCGGTTCCTTTTTAGAACACCAAGAGATTGGTGCTCCTTATAACATAAAGACATAACTAGTCGTAGACTTTCGATCATCTTTATCTCCACGCCAATTGGAATCCGTATAACTGAGTAATTTACAATTTCTTCCCGTGTCAGCTACAGGAAAGAGTATTCTGCAGCCAAGAGTTCATTTGGTGTATCTTAGGATCCTCTTAACTGCTGCCAAATGAGACACGTTCGGTCTCTCCATGAATCTACTTGCAATACTGGCACTAAATGCCAAATATGGCTGCATATTACACAAATAACACAATGATCTAATTAATATTCTATTTGCGTTGGGTTCATATTCTGCTCATCTTCACTTTTGACAATTGCAACCTTGCTTCAGCTGGTGTATTGGCAGTATTAACGTGTTCCATATCACACCTCTTCAAGATCTCAAGAGCATGCTTCGCTTGATGTATGAGCAATCCTAATTTTGACTTGTGGAACTCTATGCCAAAGAAGTAAGTCATGATCCCAAGATCACTCATCTCAAATTCTTCCATAAGTTCACTCTTGAACTTAGAGATACACAACTTTTTGCTGCCCGTGGTCAACAAATCATCAACATATAAGCAAAGTATGATCACTTCTTTGTTTGTATCCGTCTTCACATAGACGTCATGCTCGGAAACACACCTTTTGACGTCATCGTTAACTAGGAAATCATCAATACACTTGTTCCTATCTCTTGGAGCTTGTTTCAAACTATAAAGTGCTTTCTTCAGTTTGTAGACTCTTCCCTCTTGATTGATCACAACTAAACCAGAGGGTTGATCTACACTCGATCGCCGAATGAATTTTGTGTACGGTATATTGAGGATCATAATATATATATATATATATATATATATATATATATATATATATATATATATATATATATATATATATATATATATATATATATATATATATATATATATATATATATATATATATATATATATATGATAGCCAATAAATTTTTTTGAAATAGGTTATCCTGACATCATTCATATTTAAATTTATATTCAACTAATTAATTAATTAATTTTAAATAAAATCTAATTAATTTTTTATCTTTAAATCAATTAATTATTTAAAGGCTTAATGCATCCTTTAGTCCCTTAACTTAATTTAAGGTTTTACTTTAGTCGCTTATTTAATAAATATTTGTTTTAAGTTCTTTAAATGTCATTCCATTAATCACATTGGTCCTATCCGTTAAACTTTTTCAAATTCTGTTAACTTATGTCTGTGTGGCATGCCAGTTGGTTCTAGGTTATATGATATGGAATTACTTTATTTTATATTAATTTAAAATTAAATTTTAAAAACAAAAAATTGAAATGTATTTTGTATCCTTAAGTTTCTCTCTTATCCTATCTTCCTTAACCCTAGCCGTCACCTTTTCTTCCTTTGGCCATCACCATTTTCATCACTCCTCATCATCATCAACTGTAAAAATCCTCCTCAATCAAACCGAAAAATCTTAGAGAACTCAGGTCTCTAAAACTCCTCATCAATCTACTGTAAAATTCCTCCTCACTGTTAGTGGAAGAATCAAAACCCTTAAAGACGGTTGAGAAATGTTCTTCTTACAAAGAAGAAAGTAATTTTATTTCCGATATTAAAGAGTTTGAGAAAAAGGCTTTGATTTTGTTCAAGTCTAAGGTTGAGGAAGCGATTTTATGGAACACCCAACGCTGGTGCCCGTCTCATGGCTCCTCCGTAGAAATTTCTGATACTACAAAAATGTTCTAAATCTTTGGAGCAGGTAAATGTCATTTTTTATCTTTTTCGTTTTTTATTATCTTTTTCATTTGCAGTTAAGATTTCAAGCACTCAACATTTTTAGATTAAGAGACAACAACTCAGCACTCATAATCTTTGAATTGATTCACAGTAAATTTGTCTCTCTTGTAGGTTCGCAGCACCTCGCATAAACAATCCCGTTGAACAAGAAAGTCATTAAAGTTTGTTGCAGGAGGATGTCTTGGTCATGTGTCAGGTTCGGAAACCATTGAGTTTCGGTCTGAGTGAAGTTTCAGTTTGTTAAGGCTTCTAATGTAGTTTATGTTGTTCAGTCATGATTCGAGCTTGGGAGTTTGAGGGCATTTTGTTATAGAATTTTCCATAATTTGTATTTCCTTGAAAGAACTACTGTTTATTGTCATTATTATTTTGGTTATGTTCTTGATTCTTGAAGAAATTTATTTTTGGTATGTGTCTTGGTGTTATGCATTGTGTAAAAGTTGTTCCAAGTTGTTCCGGATCATACCGCTGAGGATAGATCAAGCAAGTAATTATATTGAAATTTTGCTTTTGATTGAAAAAGTTAATTTACTTATCTGTTTCATTGCAGGAGTGGACTCTGGAGGCCTCTACAATCTTAGGCTTTGGCGTGTTTCAAATTAAAGAAACGTGTTAGGTTTTGCTCGGCGAGTAGAGAAACAGAGGACCTAAATTAGTTTAGATGGGGCATTCTACAACAGTATGAGACTTTAGAGCAACAACTGAAATTATAAAGGACCAGAATGGAATTGGTCAAATTGTGCTTCAGACTCCACAAGGCGCTTCAGCATGGGTGAGAAGAACTTGTTGATTGATAACTGTGTTGTGAGTATCAACCTGGTTTGTTAACTTTATCACAAATTCCAAACCTCAAGACTATGTGAGTTCATATTATGTCATTATGTGAATACTTAGCTACATTCCTAATTGATAAGATATTGTTTTTTCTAGTTAATTACATGTTTTCATTCTCTGTTTTGCTTGTATATAGTTGGATTTGATCACTCTTTTGTCATGTTTTCAACAATCTTGCTAGAAACAAGTTCAAGTGGAGAGATACCAAGACTGCTATATTGGAATGAAGTATTGCATTACTTGTAGGTTTATTTATGCCACCATGAAACTTAACAATTTCTTATAGATTCATGTAACAAAAATCATTAGCTCCCTCTAATTAAGTGTTGAAGAACAAGAATGCGGATTCAATGGTTTTCTTTGTTCTATTAAATCATCAATGTGTTGTGAGTATCAATCTGGTTTATTGTTTAGTATAATACAAGAACTAGAGGCTCTTTGTCTCGTAAGCATTAAAGCGGATATTGCGACTTTTGATGGAAGAATGAAGAATGTGTTTGTTGTAATTAGTTGTGGGGAACAAAATTTTAATGATTTTGAAGAACCTTGTTTATATATATTGTATAGATTGCATGTGTATAGATTGAATGTGTAATTAATAATGTTTTGGTTGATTTAAAATGATATTTTTTACTCTTTTTTTTTTGGATAATGTGATATGAAAATGAAGTTGTTGTATAGCTTATTTGCTAGTTTCTTTATGTTGGTTATGTGTAGAATTTACAAAATTTTCAACATTAAAATGATATTTTATTTAGAAACTTACAGGAAAATAGTTGTTATATTTTTTTACATATTTTAAACAATTTGTGGAGATTTTTAACCTCCGAAAACAAAACCCCCGCAATTTAAATAAAATACTAATTTTTTTAGTATATATGCTGACTCAGTCATGTCTTGCTCACTCAATCTTGTCTTGTTGTCTTGCCACGTAGGCGAAGTTAAAGTTTTCACAGTCAAATTAACGGAATACACCTAATTAGCTAAGATATATTATTAAGGGACTTATTTATAACATTTATTACATAAGGACTAAACTAAAATCTAAAATTAAATTATAGGACTTCAACACTAAATAAACTAATATATTATTGGAGTAATAATTGTTTTTTGAAAAAAGCACAGGCAGTGCTAAGCATAACACTAAAGTACAAGAGATAGTTTACTGAACCCCACACAAGAATAGACAGCACAAGAAAGAGCCTAAGCAGCTCAAATTACATCAGAAGAAAAAAACAAGAGCAGTTACAACCTATTAGAGCCTAAGCTGCTCAAATTACTCCAGAAAAAAAAAAACAAGAGCAGCTACAACCTATTAGAGCCTAAGCTGCTCAAATCACTCCAGAAAAAAAAACAAGAGCAGCTACAACCTATTAGAGCCTAGGCAGACACAACCTATTAGCCCCACTTAAAAAAAAAAAGATTCTTAGACATACCACTAGAAACAAAGCAAATCTGCATAGCAACACCGCTTGAAAAAGAAAACACTTCCAATAATTAGTTAATACCGTTCATCCACTATATTATATAAAGGCTACATGCACTTTTGTTTTTCATTCTATCATTTCTTTTATAGAATATATGCTTCCCTGATCAAATATGGAATTTCCCATTATTACTTTTCTCTTGGTGAGCTTCAACACCATTAACTCAACCACTTTCATTTTTTCAAATACTTGTTGTGATATTCTAGGTCTTTATTTTTCTTGTAAAAAAATGATTATTAATGTTAATATATTTGCAAATGCAGCTTATGATAGTGGCAACTAGTGCTGAAACATTACCACCTCAACTTTACTGGAAGTTCGTACTCCCCAACTCTCCAATGCCAAAAGCCATAACTAAGATGCTTCCCAACTCTCCAATGCCAAAAGCCATCACTAATCTCCTACTCCCTGGTCAGTCTCATACTCTAAAATTTAATGTAAACTCTCTCTACACTAGGAGTAACAATGAAATAAACTATACTGCTATATATTTAGAATTATTTACTTTTAGAATTTCACTCCTACTATAAACAGGTGTAGATCTTGGAGTCAGAAAGGGTTACGATGATGGAGGTGCATCTGAAGTAAATACCATAGAATTATCTAATCCCTTATTTTACCATCATGATGAAAGTATGGCTGATGTAAATTCCGAAGAATTACCGGCTCCCTTTCATTACAATGATGCTGCAAGTGAGACTCAATCGCATGGTAAACCAAGTGGAACAGTCTTCTTCTTAGAAACGGACTTGCTCCATGGAACAACATCAAGCTTGAAATTCTCCAAGACCTTTTCAGAAAATGAAGCAAAATTCTTGCCTAGAGATATTGCTAATTCAATCCCTTTTTCATCAAACAAACTGGAATACATACTCAACAAACTGAATATCAAAAAAGGGTCAAAGGGTGCTCGTATGGTGCAGAACACAATTAGTGTGTGTGAAGTGGAAAACATCAAAGGAGAGAAAAAACTTTGTGTAACATCATTGGAGTCCATGATTGATTTCATTATTTCCAAACTTGGGAGAAATGTTGTGGCCCTTTCTACGGAAGGGAACAAAGAAAATGAGTTTCAACATTATCAAATAATATCACAAGGAGTGAAAAAGTTAGGGGAGGAAAACAAAGTTGTTGTGTGCCACAAAATGAATTACCCTTATGCAGTGTTTTACTGTCACGAAACTGATAAAACTAAAGTTTACTCGGCACCTTTGAAGGGTGCTGATGGAAGCAGAGTTAAAGCTATTGCTGTGTGTCACACTGATACATCAAAATGGGACCCCAACCATTTTGCATTTCAAGTCCTCAATGTTAAACCCGGGACTGTTCCGATTTGCCACCTCCTTCCTCGTGATAATAATGTTGCTTGGATTTCAAACTAGAGCACCTCTTTTTAGAGGTGTTGTGTTTGTTTTCTATGTTTTTACTTTCATGTATTTGCTATCATGTATTACATGTGTGCTAAATAATGTTTGCTGTGGTCAACACTATCTCTTATAAAATTTATTTTTAATGATCTATACTAACAAAATGTATATGGTGAAACCAAATAAAAAAATTATAGAATTATGCACATACAATGAAAGAATAATGTCTCTAATTTTCACTTTCTTAACCACACCTCTGAACAACACAATAAATAATTAGCAATCTTATTTTCACCAGAATTTTCCAATACTTGTTGCTTGCAACAACTAGTTACGGCTATGTTTGATACTCCATCTATTTCTTTTTAGACAAAACACATCAAACTAAACGATAAATTGTTATTCTTTATACAATTTCTTCCTATAATACCATTAATTACTCCTTTACTCATTTCACATATTTCTGTCTACAGTAAATACTTAAAGCCATTAGTTAAATAAATATGAGATATATTGTGAAAACTATGCCTTTGAATATAAAGTATAAGGTTAAATATGTTTTTGGTTTCTATAAATATCTTAAATTTTATTTTTAATTCTTATTAAAATAATGATATATTTTAGTCTTTACAAAATTATTATATATGTAGTTTTAGTCTCTGTTGTTAAGCTAATGTGTATTTTTGAATGATTATTTTGTAGACATGTTTAGAATGTTATAAAAAGTTTTTTGGAAAAAAAGAAATTTAAAATTTGATTTCTAAGTCGAGATTTTCATTATTTTTATCAATATCTTTTGAAATTTTAAAAAATCATATTTAGTCTTTTCATTTTAAAAAATTCTAAAATTTGATAAAGAAATATTTTATAGTCTTCTAAGCACGTATGAAAAATATTATTTAAAAATTTAAAAGTTTAAGGGTAATTAAACGGTTTTTAAAATTTTAGAAAATAGCACGGACTAAAATTGGATGAACAAAAATATTTTAGGGACCAAAATGTATTATTTTTTAATAGGGATTAAAAATGAAATTTAAGATATTTATAAGGATAAAAAACATATTTAACCATTAAGTATAAATTGTTTCTTTATCGGCAAGAAACTCATAAGGATAGAAAAGATGAAAAAATAATAAGAACACAAAGAATTGGTTATAACTGTTATTCTTTGCTTTCTCTTTAAATCAAATTACAAGTACCCAAGAATAAAAAATAACTTCTCTCACTCTAAATTAGGATTTGTAGTATGCAATAATGAAAGACTAGTATGTTATTTATAATAAACCTAACATACTAAATTAATGGGTTTTTTCATAAATATCCATTACAAGCTAACTTAAGGTACAAGCTAACTTAAATAATTGGACATAACAAACAGGTCCAATTCGAAATACTAACAATCCTAGCATTTCGACACTCACATACTAGAACACATTTCGACTACAATATGTAAATTTTCGACACCAGCATGTGAACATACTTCGACATCATGCATAAATCATATCAAATCAGAAGCTACTCTTCGACTCAATAGAGTTCGATCCAATATCACACAAATCTCCACCTTGAAACAAACTCTAATATCAAAGAACAAACTAGCTTTCTTCATGCAACTTTATCAACTGCATACAGTGGAAAAACTTGCAACTGAGCAATGTCTTGGTGATCATATTAACAACATTGTGATCTGTCGAAACCTTCAACACTTGGACTTCTCCACGCTTGATTACTCCTCTAATGAAATACAGCCTCACATTGATGTTCTTGGTTCTCTCATGATAGGTTAAGTTCTTCGACAAGTGTATTGTACTTTGACTATAACATTTAACAGTGGTAACCCAACCTTGAAGTTTCAGCTCCTTAACAAAACCTTCCAGACACAATGCTTCTTTCACAACTTCAGTTAAGGCAATATATTCTGCTTCAGTGGTTAATAATGCGACAACCTTCTGAAGTGTTGCTTTCCAACTAATTGTTGTACCAAACATAGTGAAATTATATCTAGAAATAGATTTTCTAGAATCCATACAACCTGCATAATCAGAGTTGGCATATCCTTCGATTACTGCTTTACTATCTTCACCCAAGGCTCCATCATAAATTAGGACTCTATTCAGAGACCCATTTATGTACCTTAGAATCCACTTCAATGTTTGTCAGTGAGCCTTTCTAGGATTCGCCAAGTACCTGCTTACAGTACTTACTGCATATGCTATGCTGAGTCTAATACATACCATAACATACATCAAAGAACCCACTATATTAGAATATGTGATGCTATTCATATAAGCTCTTTTGACCTCAGTACTGGGACACTGATCTATACTCAACTTGAATTGAGGGTTTGTTGGAGTTACAACAAGCTTTGAAGTCGACATACCAAACTTGTCGAGAATCTTCCGTAGGTATGTCTCTTGAGATAAGCATAATTTAGACTGCTTCCTATCTCTTCGGATGTCAATGCCGAGAATCCTGGACACATCTCCCAAATCCTTCATGTCTAACTCCTTATTAAGTTCATCCTTGACCCTCATTACATCTTCAACATTTTTTCTTGCTACGAGAATATCATCAATATAAAGCAACAAAATAACAAATGAATTACCAGGTTGAAATCTAAAGTAAACACAGTGGTCGAATTGGCTCCAGTAGGTTTCTTGATCAGTTCCCAAGTGTTGTTATCATGAAGAAATTTCATCTCATCATCCATGGCCTTCAGTCATTCAGTCTTATTTCAACTCCTCATAATTTCCTTATGGTCTCTAGGTTCTTTGTCTAGAACCTCACTTGCAGAGATTAAGGCATAAGTTATAAGATATGCTTACCCAAGTCTCTAAGGTGGCTTAATGACTCTTCTCATCCTATCTCTTACCAATAAGTAGTAATCAACAGTTTCCTCAACTTCCTCAGCATCTTCTACTTCTTTTTCGACTTCATATGGGATACGCAATTTAGCATCAACATGCTCCACCTTGAAATTCTTGTATCAAATATGTGATGTCGAAGGAGATGTCACGACACAAATATCTGAGGACAATGTAAAATACAACAATAATAATAAAAGCATTAAAAACACAAGGGATTGTTAACCCAGTTTGGTGTACAACAACACCTACTTTGGGGGCTACCAAACCAGGGACAAGTCCACTAAATAGTATCAATTTATAGACCCTCAGTAAACAACCAGTTTACAATCTAATCACTTAATCACTACCCGTGCTATACTTCTACCTAAGACACACCTAGGTATGAGGCCCTACTCAAATCCCTTCAATCATTAATAGTGAAGAACAACAGAATTATTAAGTTTTAAAGACTTCAATCATTCAATACTTAAAAGCTTATGAATGATCCACAATTAACATTTCAAATAATAACTCAAGTATTAAACCAATACTAGAGTGTATTACAATTAAAAATACTTAGACTTCTAAAACAGAAAGAATGTATTCTTCTTCAAAAGTTGCAGTTTGATGAATAAGGATGCAAGTCCTTATAAAGGCGCAATAGCGGATTTGGGCTGGGAAAAAAAATTCCAAACCTTTGAATATTTCCATGAAAACAGGCCAAGATATAATTCATAAAGATAATGCAGATCGAAAAATATTCCTCCATATTTTTCGTAAGCTATGAGTCCCAAATCCTGAATGATGGCGTGCATAAAAACATGAAACAAAAAACTTAAAACAAATATGAAGTTAAGTTCAGCTCAGGAGACAGATGTGAAGACATCTGCTTTGACATCATTCAAAACCAATTTGCTTCAAATGTCTAGGCATTGTGCAAAACATTATCAAGTCAGTGTTTTACCAAAATTGCTGCTAACAAACACTTACAAACTCCCCCTTTGGCAAATTTTGGCTAAAACATTATTTGACTACATTATCAGAGCAGGAACACAAGCAAAAACAAAACTCAGTTAGCAGTTAGCAAAAATAACTAAGTTAGATGTTAGTAGAGGAAGATATCAGAACATCTTTTGAGACATGAGGCTCCCCCTCAAGCAATAAGCTCTCCCTCAGTCAGTGGTCAGTCAGTTTTTCTCCCCCTTTTTAGTCATAATATGCCAAATAAAACATGCATTCAAGAGAATAGTAGTAATAGAATATGCCAAATAAGTACAGACCATAGAATCCAAGAGTAAAGCACATACAAGTGCCAAAAAGGAACTAAGGGGTCAAATAAACAGCAAATGATTTAACTGTCTTCAGGACCAATAGACTTAGCAGAGTCAGAACTTCCTTCCTCATCATAATCTCCTCCTTCAGTTCTCACTTTATCATCAAAACGGTTATCCTTCTCCAGCTCCTTGATAATCTTTTCAAAAGTTAGCTTTCTTGCTGAGCTAACTTTGATCACATCATCAAGTTCTTTGCAGGCTTCCCTTAATTCAGTAATCATATCATCCTTGGTTGAGGTATTGTTTTCAGAAGATGTAGATGTCAAAACAATGTTTGGGACATGTTTTCCTGAAAAAAGCTTGAAGTGAAGGGTTAGAGCAGACTCCCTCTTGCAAACTACATCATTACCACTCAGAATTCCAAGATGTTGATTAATACTAATTCCACAAATAAGGGATGGAAAAACAATAGGCATCTTGATGGCACATGTTCATGTATGCTTAATAGTCTGATAAAAAATGTAAGCACCATAATCAAACAGATTCTTATATCCAACAACACAGATAAACTTTCCTAAGCCAATTGTAATAGTTGAGGTATGATTGGTAGGAACCCAGTTAGTAGTTCCAATTCTATGCAAGATAGCATGTTTCACACTTAGCTTGCTAACAGGAAGCTTATTCTTCATGGGCCACTCACTCACTTGGTTAGCAGTGATGGCTTTTCAAACTTGATTATCAGTTACTTCTAACTCACAATAATCATCTTCAGACCTATCCAGAAATCTATTGATGACAACAAGGGAAAATTCTACACACCTACCTCTAATAAATACCTTCCTATACTCCTTACTTTGGGGGACCATGCATAGTCTTCTTCTTGTTACTCTTAGAA